TGGAATGCACTATAAAAGCCTGAATTAAAGCTGGATTGGGTCTTGATATCAACAAAACCTGGACTACGGTGAGGATAGCCAACAGGATCTCAAGACCCATATCCAGGATTTGAAAACTCATGAGAAATGTTTCTATTATGCTCAAAATTAGAGCAGACTAGGATCTAACCGAGTCTACACATACCTTACTGGTATCACGAGTCTACTTCCTCCAAGGAGTACGGCCGCGCTTTCGTGGAATCTACATCAAAACCAATTCTCATCTTTTCTGGTCCAGCCCTATCGCAAACCCTGAGACTTCCTGACCAGAGATTGGATTATTTAAGCCGCACCACCTAAGATGTGCAATGTCACGTGTCATTTTGAGTAGGTTACTGCGACATAACCAAATAAAAGTAACATTATCCTGAAAGAGGTATTATGCTCCAGTGACGCTCCTGGCTGATTATTTGTACTGGCTAAATACATTTCAGGTTCATCAAAACAAAAGCTGGGCAAAGTCTTACAGTTACAGAGTTATTCACAAAAGGGTGAAGAGTTTGGAGAAGGGAGGAGAAGTGAACAATCTGGGCAAAATTACTGATATGGAAAAATTCTCCAACTCGGCTCACTTTCCAGTTCAGCGATGTTGTCCTAGATTGTTCACTTCTCCTGCCTTCCCAAAACTCTTCACCCTTTAGTGAATAACCCCATTACTTTTCTTTAGAAAGCAGTCACAACCGGAGTAGAAAAGCCTGCCCCTGACCAGCATGCTGCAGAGAAAGACCCTTTCTCTCTGCGTGGAAGCAGTGGTCTCTCTACAGAGGTCCTGCAATGCCCCTTGCTTAATCAGTTCCTTTAGCTCTGCAATCAGCAAAGGTCATGCTGCCTGCTGATTGGAGGGTTCAGGGGGGGGGGGGGGGTGCTGTATCACTGCAGAGGGGCCACTGCTTACACACAGAGAACAAGGGTCCTTCTCTACAGACTATTCTACTCAGGATCTTTTGTTTTTCGATGCACCTGAAATGTATTTAGGTAATTTAACCTGAAGGTCCAGCTGTGCTTTAAATACAGCATCAGGCTACATTTCAGTTATCCCCAGACAAGAACTTATTGTACTTTTCATCCAAAGCACACAAACACACTGCCGTGTCTCTGAGGGCCAGTTCACATCAATTGCGGTGTGTTCCAGAGCGGTAGCTGCTGGAACGCACACTAAACTCCCCCCTTTGGTTCTGGGGCGTGACAGTGCATTGAAGTCAATGGCACAGCAGCCACGCCCCCTGCCCGCAGTGCGATCAGAGGCGTAACAAAGCATTGCGTGTTCCGGTGCAATGCCAACACAAAAAAATTGCTGCATGCAGTTTTAGTTTGCGTTCGCACTGGCCTGGATCGCAGGCAATGTTTCGCCACACATCCGATCGCACTGCGAGTGGGGGTGTTGGGGGCATGGCTGCAGTGCCATTGCCATTGACGCTCCAGAACGAACGGGGAGTTTAGTGTGCGATTACAGTGCGTTCCAGCAGCTACCGCAATTGGTGTGAACTGGCCCTTACAGCTATGCCTTTGCTGTGCAGTTCAGTTCCCTTCAAATCCCCCAAAAAGTAGAATTAAAATAGACTTCAATATAAGCGACACCAAAATGTCAAGTCAAATAATCGCTTTATTTTAAATTAAAGTTGAACATTTAAAAATTCATTGCGATCTATCTATACAAGGGTTAGAGACATGTAACAAATACTTCAAGGCAGTTCGGATAAATATATCATATTAAAAAAGAAAGAAAAGAAATACAGCAGTTGCAGTACGATAGTACGATGGGTATACCAGCCTGTGCAAATCTACGGACATTCATTAGTCATGCACCCGCGCCGAGCTAATGGCGCTCCGTGCTGAAGAGATGGATAGATCTAGTGCAATGTAGCAAATTCTGTCTCGCAGTTAAAAGTAGACTTGTCACCCGCTTACAATGAAGGCAGACATTTTATAGGCTGGAGCCATATTTGCACACCTCCCAGCTGCAATAAAAAATATCAGGACAATTTCCCTTACAGACAGGAAAGCAATGCAACCCCAAACATGTATTTATTAAAGGGGAACATGTCATGAGAGAAGCACAGGGGCTGCATGCTTGCTTCAGGTCAGCAATCAGGACTGAAAGCCTTGAAGCCAGAGGATCAGCATAAGAGACAGCAGTGGCTGCTCATATATATCTGTCATGACAGGTTTACATTAAAGGTCCATTCGTACCACAAAACTTTGCTCTGCAATGTACGCATTGTTGTGTTGCGTTAAACAGCCTAATCAAAATAAAAGGGCTGGATGCATGCGGAAATGGGGCAGGCTGAAGTTTATCGCAGCACATCACACATGCATTGTGCTGCACTGTACTGTAATGTGTTTCAGAACGGTGTTGGCTGCAGTGCACCACCTGTGCATTGCCGAGACTTATCACAATGTAGTGGTATAGGACAACGCCTAAGTTAAAAAAAGAAAAAGAACAGTTTCGATGGCCACTGAAATCTTATGTTATCATATGCAGCAAGTATTCGGTTCTGTACATGTCTGTATAGTGGTTTACTTGTCTCAGTCTCAAGAGTATGACAACAATCTCAAAGTGAGCAATTCTTTCTTCCTGTGTCACCATGCAGACGCCTGGCACATTCAAAGTCCCCATTTACATGGCTTCCACGGATGAACAAACCTGGGCATCAACATGGGTTTTTAACATGCATTTCTGTGTGTTGATGGGTATTTCCTACTGCATTTCTGCATGTGTTTTAGTGTGTTGGCTTCTAGGCGATGGCTTCCTTCACTATGTATTGAAGCATGTGAAAATTCCCATAAATACGTTCTTATGGCAATATAATACTGCCCCAAAAGCCCATGCTTTGGGCAATATGACCTGTCTCCGTTCACTATGCAATCGCTGTACTCCAGGTTCAGGTGAAAATGTCTATACTTCTGTATTCTACTCTGGAACGCTCCCGTATTCGCTTTATGTGATCCTATCTCTGCAACGTGTTTAGGTCAAAAGAGGCTTAGTCACAGAGAAACTCTACGAATGAGCCGCTGTCGGGCGAAATGCATCAGTGAGAGTCACATGCGGGGTGAATATCGGGCCATTGTGGGTAAAATAAAGAGCTTTGAAACTGAGCCTGGTGTGCAACAATTGCTTCATTTTGCTTGGCCTTTTTTTCCCCATGGGTTTACACTCATTTCTATGGGCCCCATATATCATGCGCTAAAAACCTAAAAAACGACAAAAAGCAAGCACTTCACCACACACAGATATCAACAGGGCACATAGAACAAAATGGCTTTTCAGCTGCAAAGTTTTCTTACATTATACTGCTCAGGTATGAATGAGGCCTGAATACTGTACGTTTCCTAAGTACCCACAAACCCTCTGCCGTTCTCTGCACTGTGACAGTTTAAATTGTACACTCAGCTGGTGGGCAGAAAAATATAATGGGAATGTAAGAATCACAGATATGGGAATTTAAAGTGTGCATGTGTTTAGCGCAAAGCAAGAGGTTCACTTGAAAGGCTCATGTACATGGGCGTTGTTTTTCTGCATTTGACGTGGATTTGAAAGAAATGTCAAACACAGATCAGCAAATTGCCACCGACCATATTGGAGCAGTACACGTGAGAGTTTAGACGTTGCAGTGGACCTGCTCTGCATTGAGCACATTTCCTTGGACACTCATATCCTATGGAGGTGGATTTTTGAACCTTTCCTTGTCAAATTGCTGCCTTTGACAAGAACATCCACCGACATGAACCCTAATGGTGGCTCCCACAGCTGCACATACTTCCCTTCCCCCCAAGTAAAGTGACATACCTGGTAATCCTGGGTTTGGGAGAACATTTGACTCTTTTTCCTTTCTTCCATGTGACAGTGCTTATCTTTGGTGATTGGCTGCTCAGGAGCACAGCGCAGTCACATGGGAGGGGGGAGAGAGTACTCAGTCCTGTGTAAGCTTTATGCCATGGTTCTTTATATGGCTTCCACGGATGAACAGAGCAGTGGCAGAGCAAAAACAAAGCGAGTTTAAGCTGTTTCAGGGCTTTTGTCAACGGGATTTTGTTTACATCAGATGAGTTTTGCATTCCCATACAAATCTATGAGAAAGCAAAGCCCGCTTGCAGCAAATCAATATCAGGTAAGAAGCAGGTCAATTGCCAATGTCAATGAATTCTGGATGATGTCAAACGGATGCCATCGATACAAGCCCAAAACCCGTCAGCCCCTTAAAGTGATCTGTTGCTTTGCCATGCATGGGTACAAGCCCAGGTTCACTTTAAGGATCACAGGCAAATATACATAGCCCCGTCTAAAAATAAGCATCCCCTTTAAAGGCTTAAAAAAAATCAGGATTTTAAAGTGTAACTCACACTAGCTGGGAGGTGTGCAGAAGACAGCAGCCTGTCGATCAACTGGCAATTTGTTGCATCCTAAAGCAGTTCAGGAAACAAAATGGCCGCCTTAACCGCATTAAAGTGACAATAATGACTTCAAGACTAAAATGTAAACAAACATGAAACAAACACACACACCAGTTTCCAATTCCCCTGTATTTACATCGACCACAGATATACATATGTACAAAGTTAGCAAAATAAAGGTCTTTCTTCAAAATTGGTACAACTTTAAATGTATATATATTTATAATTATACATAGTGTATTAAATATTACTAACCCATGATATAAATTAACCCCGAAGTCAATATGCTTGAAAGGCAGTAGTGCTTCTCACGTAACAATATCGGGACTGTAAAAATATGTATATATTTATATGATAACATATGAGCGCACACATATATCAGGGCTGGACAAATCACAGGAGCCAATGCTCCTTAAAAACTACAGCTGGCGCCCAATTTTTGAGGTCTTCTCTAGCTGTTGTCAATGAAGCTGGATCCTAAAAAAAAAAAAAAATCCTGCTGGCTCTGGGATTGGGCAAACTGTCTCCTGAATTTCACACTAATTTGTCCAGCTCTGCATATGTATTACGTGATCTCTGGTATTGTCTACGTGATTCGGGAAAGTGGCAGGGTGATGCTTCATGGAAATCCTGTGCTTTAAGAGTTCAAGTCCAGATTGTCCTGTTCCTCTGTCTGCCTTAACATCAGCTGCTGTTCATAATAAAGACTTTTAGCGTAATTGATTTCTTGAGATATTTTCACAGCGAGGCTCTCGGACTTGACATGGACCTGAAAGAAGAAGGTAGATTATGTGAGGCGTAGGTTGTAGATCAAGGTTTGAAGCTCCCATCTTGTCATGCATATATGTGAACTGTTCTACCTGCCAAAATATATCTGATTTTTAGAGCCATGTCACACTAGTGATTATGTTGCTGATGACAACCTGTCCATGCAAGAATTGCTATAAACCACAGAGAAAATACCCAACTGTTTCAATATGCTGCTTCCTTTCTAGCTACACGAGTGAGGTGAAGCTCCCTTAGCTGCAGGAAATGCTGCAGCATACAAGATTCCAGCAAGAAAGCAACATCTTGATCATCCAGCCAGGGAGGGAGCAACGCATGGAAACAGATAAGTATTGTTCTACCTGGTTTAAACCTTCTATTGCTGGTCAGCATCAGGACCGCTAAGGTGACATAGACCTTCTGTTGCTGGTGAGGTCTCCAGCGTCAGGACCGCTAGGGTGACATAGACCTTCTGTAGCTGGTGAGTTCTCCAGCATCAGGACCGCTAGGGTGACATAGACCTTCTGTTGCTGGTGAGTTCTCCAGCGTCAGGACCGCTAGGGTGACATGGTCCTTATGGTTCACACACTGCTGTTACACATTTTCTTGTTCATTTTAAATAGAGTCGAGGAATGGGTAAGACTAGAGGTGCACCGAAAAACACAAAAATTGTCAGGCGGAAACCGAAAACTATTTTTTTTTTTCTAACCATTTTTAAAATATTTTATTCTTATTTATTTTCTTACTTTTACTGTTGGGGGCTCTGGGGAAATATCAGGGGTCTAAAAAGAACCCTGATATTTCTCCTTTGAAATGGAAAACGAGATTGAGACCTCAATCTCTTTTTCTGCAGCCCCTGTTATGAAGCCTCTATACTGCTGGAAGCCTCTTTACTAAGTGTTCCTATCCATTCATAAACTGTGGATATCATATGAGTTACTATGTCCACAATCCTGAATGAACAGGAAGTGAAGTAGATCACTTCATCTTCATTCATAATTGGGGACACAGTAAACATACTATGTCCTTTATTATTTACAAGCACTCAGCGATCAGCTTAATCGTTGAGTACTTGTAACTGCTCTCCATCCTGACTCCTTCGGCTGTCACAGGAGACTGAACAGGCAGTGTGCGAGGAGAGCTCAGCCTCCTGTGACACGGCTGACAGCTGACTCCTCCCCCACATGGCTGGTTTGGCCTCCTGTGACAGCTAACAGCTGTCTCCTACCCCCCACCACTCTCCATCCTGAGTCTCTGCCTGTCACAGGAGGCAGAGTGGGGCGGTGCAGGTGGTGAGCTTGGCCTCCTCTGACACTGCCGCTGACATCACTCTCCTCCCCCCTCGGCCACCTGAAAGAAGATTTCCCTTCTATTGCTGTTCTGGTGAGAAGTTAAAATATTGGATCTTTTCTCAGATTCAGTCCTGGTGACCATGAACTTTATCACAGAAAATGGGTGTAAATAAGCACCTACCATTGGTTTTTGGTGAGAAGGCCCTGGCATGGCAATCCCACTACTTGAAGTTTCTGCCTTCTTGGTCAGTTGAACATATATTTTCCCATGATCTTTGGAAACAAGGCAGTGGTACAAATCATCGTACTTAATCTCCAGGAAGATAGCGTCACGGTCCACATACTCGCCCCACTTCAGGAAATAGGCTGTTTTTGAGGAGATTAGGACACAGTAACTGTCTATATGTTCAACGGCAATAAAGCTAGGAAAAGAGGAAGTGAGACAAAAAAAAGAATAGTTACAATTTAAAGACTTTTACATTTCAAAGACAGTTATCTTTACTGCAGGCAATCAAATCTTGACTTCCACATTTATTGGTAGAATTTGGCTATAAAGAACTATTTAACAAGTTCCTTATAACAAATGATGCTAATACAACCTTTCAGTCCTTTTGTTCTGACTTTATATTGATCAATATGTGGAAGGAAATGGATGCTGCCCAGTGGATGGAAAGGAAAAACAAAACTGGTGCCCCATTGTGGCAAATGTGTGCACGGGACTTAAAGTGTCTTTTTTGTGCCAAAGACATTTTACACTCAACTGACCAGCCAAAGGTAAAATACCTTGTGATAAATAATTACAGTATAAAAATAAGAACACCCCTGAACATCTAGGTGCTGAGGAAAATAAGCAAACTTTTACATTTTTCCATGAGATAATGCAACTGAGCTGAAGTCAGATGCAGGTGCAATCATCTCCTGGAACTAGATTCCCCAAGCCCCATCACAACTTCTTCTAAGTGACAGCGCAGACTCTTATCAGTCATTCTACACATATAGCCAAAAGTTTGACCATCACACTTATATGAGCTTGTTGGACATCCCATTCCAAAACCAAGGGCACTAAAATGGAGCTGTAGAATTAACAGTAGCCTTCACAGGAAACTCCTGAAATCAATTATTTGGTAGCGCTCAAATACTTTTGGCCCTACAGGATGGTCTGATGGTCAGGTGTCCACAACCTAGTTAGTGTTGGGAACCTCTGTCTGCACATTTCCATTGTTTTTTGCTTTTGCAAAGACATGTTATTTAGCCCTAAGACATAACAGGGGATCAGATGGACCTCCTTGTCATGAAACTTTTGGGGAGGATATTATTTACCAGCAGAGGGAACCAAGAAGCAAAATCAACAGGTTCATTATAAAAGCTGTTTTCTGAAGCTGCAGAGGATTAGGGAAAAGGGTGGTGCTAGAACCATGAAACACACTGACCATTCACAGATTCTAAGTCAGGGACATCCAAAAAATGAAAGATACTACGAACAAACATTTATAGATCAGAGCAGACTGGCAACGTATTGTACTGCTTACTAGTGTCATCAGAGGATCCTCTGGTTGGCCACAACACTGAATATACCCATGTTATTATCATGTGTTTATTTAGTACCAGCATATTATACAGCCCTGTACATTATGTAATATAAGGTGCCACTTTACAGGCGCCCATTCAACAATAGAGTACATAGACTGCCTTTAGGCGATCCCTTAAGACTCATCTCTTCAGGGAAGCCTGAACCATCACGTTCTCAAACAATTCATCCCCACACAGCTACCTCCTCATGTATCACTGGCCCCTCCCTTTTAGATTGTAAGCCCTCAGGGACAGGCTCCTCCTTACCATCTTGTCTTGAATTGCATTGTGATTGTAATGTCTTCCTTATACAGTAAAGCGCTGCGCAAACTGTTGGTGCCATATAAATCCTGTATAATAATACATCAGGAAAAAAATCCCCTACTGGTACGCATGTTCTAAGAGGGGACACTAGAAGTGTGTATAGAATAAGTGACATGACATACAAATTGTATTGATGGTTTATTGTATAAACGATTTATTATTCCTAAACAATCCACCTGATCCTCTGATGGACCATCACACCTGTAGCGGTTGGAAGACCTTAAATAACCCTGTCCAGTGCAGCAAGCAAAGTCCCTGCAAGGTTGAACATTGGTAAAAATCTGCCCGCGGGCTTTAAACGCTAGACTGAGTTCAAATGCCTAATTCTCATGTTTGACTGCTGTGCACTCTTTAAACCATGTAGCAGAGTAGGGAGTAAACCTTACATATCTGATTGACAACAAACAAGCCTTGACCAAACCACTGATCATTATCAATCACACTTACAACTCATCCTGGATGTTGTCCGTCAGTCGGAATAGTTGTTCTTGTCCCTCAGCCTGGATATCCGAGTATCTGGGAAGAAGTCCCTGGGGACTCGTGCAGCACCGTGGTCTCCTCACCCTCTGAACCTGCATTCTGAAAGAAAAAAGTCCAAGAGGAGCATTTAGATCACTAAAAACTCTTCCAAATAAAACAATCCATCTTCAACTGCTGAGCTTTCATAGCGTAATATACCACATAGAGTAAAAACACGTTGTTTCCACTGAACCAGGGGAATACAAAAAAAAAAAAAGAGAACGTTGGTTTTTTTCACACTTACAACCAGATATAATCAGTATACCCGAGCAGTTATGCATCAATTGCTTTTCAAGCCCGTATACCCGTATATACACTGAATGTTACCCGTGTCTCCAGCACTTACTGAACAGAAGGTGTGCTGCCAAATATCACAAGACATGGCTAAACACTTACAGAACAATCATGGATAAATATAGACCTTTTTCAAGCTAACCTAATCTATATTCCCCAGCGGCTGGCAAAGTACATTTCTATCCAACGAGCCCTGCTTCCCTGCTTTGTTCGCTGAATGTGTGTTTTTCATCATGTTGACAGGAGCTAAATATCTTGGTATTGACAGGACAATGTGATACATTTATCAGGTACCCGGACAAAATATCAACCAGAACAACAATTATTCCAATTGTATTTTTTCACTGTACATTAAGAAATAGTAAAATGTATATAAATATGCAAGATTAGATACGTATTACAAATAAAATAAAAACTGCTGCAGTCGTCATATAGGTCTAAACAAGACAATGCCTCTTAAGCTGGCCATATACCTATAGATGATCTGCAGATTTTCTATGGTCAGATGGAAAAAATTAAACAGATTCCTCCATCTACTCTAAGCTGTGTGGATGGAGGAATCTCCCGCTGGGCCAAGCTTCAGTATCTTGCTAGTCGGACCGCTGGCTCTCAAAATACCCGGACAATCTAATTGGATGCCGGCATTGTTCAGGTATTTTGGGGGCGACTAGCAAGATGGTAAAGCTTGGCCCAGTGTGAGATTCCTTCATCCATACAGTTTAGCGTAGATGGAGGAATCTGTTGCACTTTTTCCATCTGACCGTAGAAAATCTGCAGAAAACCTATAGGTGTATGACCAGCTTTTGGCTGCTCGCAGATCTATTAGGGTAAACTGCCAGGGTATGACTCCCTCCAGAGACAAGGGATCATCACCCAATCTGGCTGAAAACATCTTTCCTTATTGCCTGGGGGTACTTCTAACTTCAGCTTTCCTGGAACATAGTGTTAGGGTAACCACAGACAAGAGGTGTTTGTTATCTGGATTCAGTTATGATTCTAAAGGTTTATATCTGCCACCAAACCGAGCATTACTAAAGTTAAAGGGGGCAAAATTTTATTTTATTTTTATTAGCTGACCGAAATATGTTTAACAGAAATGTTTGTGTGATATAAAATACACAGTATGATCAAAATCACATTTTACCTTTCCGGTCAAATTTGCCCTCTGCAAATGTTTAGTTGCTTGGCCATTATTGTCGAGAGAAGTAGACTAACTTTAAGTGGACATATGGACTAAATCAAAAGGACGCATGCTATAACAGGCATCACCATATATGTTATTTTTCGTTTTACCCATAGTTACATTTCAACTTCAGAGTTTGTCTTTTTTAATTTGATTCCCTTCCAACTTCTGCAGCATAGTTGTATGGAAGGTTTTACATTTTAAGGGCAGGTTCACACCATTTTCTGGACCAGATCTGGAATGCACTGCGTTGCATTTTGCCGCATTATTGATACGTTTTTGATGCGTTCAATTTCAGGTTTTGCTAGGGGACCTCTGCAAGACCTACAGATAGCCAGTAAAAGAGCAGCACAATGCTTGCACATAAGAGACATGACTTTACACACAGTTGTTCTTTTCAGAGCTGCTAAAATGATCATAGCCGGGGACAACCTGGGCAGCAATGACTCTCCACTTGTCCATCTACCTGTTCTTATATTGCCCATGCCTGGGATCATACAGCTCTGGGTGGCTTCCACAAGTTCTACAAAGAATTCAGTGTCCACTTCAGCCATCATGGTTCCTATCTTCACAAATCTCTCTCTCCACAGAAGCAGGAAGTCCAAGGGTGATGCAATTATCCAAACCAGCCACAAAAAAAAAATATGTTTTTTTCCCCATTGCGTTGCATTTTTGACGCGTTTGTGCGCATTCCGGTGCGTTCCAGACCAGACAAAATGTGACAGGCAGTATTTTTCTGGTATGGTCCTGACTGCGATGGTACGAACTGAGGCCAAGAAGAGCATAGGGAAACATTGGGATGCATTTTAGGTCCAGAAACAATCTGGTCTGGAGGTGGTGTGAATGGGCCCTAAAGGAGAACAGGTAACCAAATTATTCTTGTTCCCCACCTGCCCTGGTTCTCTTGCAAATAGAGTTGCAATTATAGAGGTCATTTACAGCTGTACAAGATGGTGATATGGTATTACGGGAGAACAATTATAGAGGTCACTTACAGTCACACCTGATGGTGATATGGTATTGTGGGAGAACAATTCTAGAGGTCTCTTACAGTCGCGCCTGATGGTGATATGGTATTGTGGGAGAACAATTCTAGAGGTCACTTACAGCCCCACCTGATGGTGATATGGTATTGCGGGAGATCAATTAGAGGTCACTTACCGCCGCACCTGATGGTGATATGCTATTGTGGCAGAACAATTCTAGAGGTCACTTACAGCCCCACCTGATGGTGATATGGTATTACGGGAGAACAATTCTAGTGGTCTCTTACAGCCCCACCTGATGGTGATATGGTATTGCAGGAGATCAATTAGAGGTCACTTACAGCCGCACCTGATGGTGATATGGTATTGCGGCAGAACAATTCTAGAGGTCACTTGCAGCCCCACCTGATGGTGATATGCTATTGTGGCAGAACAATTCTAGAGGTCACTTACAGCCCCACCTGATGGTGATATGGTATTACGGGAGAACAATTCTAGTGGTCTCTTACAGCCCCATCTGATGGTGATATGGTATTACGGAAGAACAATTCTAGTGGTCACTTACAGCCGCACCTGATGAGATATGGTATTGCGGGAGAACATTTATAGAGGTCACTTACAGTCGCACCCGATGGTGATATGGTATTGCGGGAGAACAATTATAGAGGTCACTTACAGCCGCACCCAATGGTGATATGGTATTGCAGAAGAACAAATGTATAGAGAATTTTTAAAGGCTAGCTCCAACCAAAATTTTTTGGTCGGAGCTGGCACACAAAACCACTGCCAAAATTTGCTTCCCATTTAAATAATGCTAAAATGAGCAAATGTCATCATTCTGATGACAGGTCTGTTTCAAACTACAACAGGCCATGAAGCCAAGCTATAAAACTAAATCCATCTGACACTTATTCAGTTGAATGGTTTCCATCACTGGCACGGAAAACACCTTTCCATATGAAAATGACATCAATCTATTGGGGAAATGGAGAACAAAGAAAGTCATGGATTATTTTCACTGAAATCTACCTCTCCTGCTTGCACCACGTTACCAGTTTAAGAGAAAATGCAATAAAATATCCTCCTGCATATGGATTCCAGTTATTTAGTCTCCAGGAACGTTTAGTGCTAAGTTAAAAGGAATGTATACAGAGGAAGTGGGGAGAGGGGGAAACGAGCCCTCAGAACAAAGATGCTTCTGTCGCCGGCAACTTGGGTAGCATAACATTCAAGTTGGTAATAGAGTACGTCTAGCGTAATGAGGATTTTCACTTAAACTATTCTCTCCAAGTGTTAGAATGAACAGTATGGATAGTCACAGTCCTTCAGGGCTTGCCAAACGGGTCTGTTTGGTCTGGATGGCAAGTCACATTCCTCTCAACTTGCTATATTTTGTTATAACTACAGTCTGTTCCACTGTCTCAAGTTTCTTTCTGTAAATAATAAGAACCTCTTACGAATCTGAAAAAGCTTAAAATTTGAAGAGCAGAGCCTGGTGAGGCTCACATCTGTGTTACATTAAAACGTGCACTCAATAGATTTTTTTGATTCTTTTTTAATAAGTACACAAAGGCAACACAAGACAGAAATGCCCCAATGTCTCCTGGTCACAGCAGGGAAGAGAGCAGCTCGATGAAGAGACAAAAGAAACCGTGGCTGGTGTCAGAAAGTTCAAGTGTGAGTACAGGTCCTCACTGTGAAGGGAAAATATGGAGGCTTCCATCTGGCACAGCCCATCACAGAAGATAAGACCGAACAGACGATATTAGGCTGACCAAAGATGATCAAATTTCCTGCTGAGGATAACCGTAGCTAAAAATGTATACAAAATAAGAAGATAACCCCCATAGGGATGTACTCCTTGGGAATCAAACAAACTTGGTAAAAATGTGTAACCGTTTATTAAATCTTCTTATTTTCTATACATTATGTGGGTTTAATACCCCTTGGGAATTATTTTGATTAGATTTTTGAAGCATTAGTAAACTTTGGGAGCTTTGACCACTTTGGTTCACCCTATATGGGGACCCCCTATTATATATTTTTTTTTTTAGTAGCTAAAAATTCTGCCCGTTTTTGCTGGAAATACACATCAATAGGAACTGCTGTAGTTTTGTTCACCCAACATAGGCTGGGCATACAAAGTTCGAATTCTCAGCCAAAGAAGCAGTGAGTCAGCACCACCCGGCTCAAAAAACTTTGATTTAAAAAAATCAGTCAGGTGGAAATCTGTTGGCCGAACAATGGCTACATCCTATTAGATGAAATCATGGTTGGGAGTATTCAAACAGCCGCCAATGCCGGCTGGCTGACTACAATAGCTGGCAAATGGAGATTTTTCCATCCGTGCTGTTTAGCCTGAAAGGGGCAAATGAGTGATTTCTCTTGATCAGCTGAGAAGTCTAGCCATGACTGGCTAGCATTAATCAATGGATGCAACATACATGCTTAAACAGATGGTTCACTTTTCTACAATTGAATGTTTAACTCTCATTTACTGGCCACAAAACATCCAAATTATAATATTTTTTCCTTTTGTTTCCCTCTTTTGGCCAACATATGATCATGTGTTGCTAAATGAATAGAAAGCCTAAGAG